TCGTCCCTACGATTAAGTTGGCCATTTTCTTAGTTTTTGAACTCTCATTTCTGTGTGTCTGTTTTTAATTTTCCTGGTATAGCACTCCCTGCAGAACTTCTTGGAGATCTGGTCTGGTGTCGGTAAATTCTTCCAGGTTTTGTTTATCTGAAAATGTTCAGGTTTTGATTATCTGAAAATGTTCTTATCTTTTCTTCCCACATGAAGGGTAATCTTGCTAGGTACAGTATTCTTGGTTGAAATTGCTTTTCCCTTAACACTTTGAATATATTTTCCCATTCTTTCCTCACTCACATTGTTTCCAATGAGAGGTCCGCTGTCAGCCTGATGGGATATCCTCTGTAGGTAACTTGCCATTTCTCTCTTATCAATCTTAGTATCTTGTCTTTGTCTGTTGTTTTGGGCTATAAAGTATCTTGGAGAAGATCTTCTTGGGCTGATTGTATTTGGGGTCCTTTGTATTTCTTGGGTCTGCATCTTTGAATGCCTCTCTAGGTTTAGAAAGTTTTCTTCCAGGATTTTGTGGAATAGGTTATCAATAGCCTCATGAGTCTCTTCCCCTTCTGGGATACCAATTATCCGGATGTTTGGACATTTGATGGTACCTAGTATTTCCCGTATAGTATTCTCATTTTTGAGGGGCAATTTTCTGTCTTTGTGGTGGATTTTTCTAGACTAGCAATTCTATCTTCTACATCTGAGATTTGACTTTCTGTATGATCTAGTCTGCTTTTAATATTTTCAAAGGAGGTATTGACTTCCTATATTATAGCTTTCATCTCTAAAAGATCCATTTGATTATTATAGTGTGAATTTCCTGTTTTAGATCTAGCAAGAATTTCCTCACCTTCTGGAACTCATCAGCTCCTTTTTCTTGTCCTCTTTGGAAGCTCATTGCCTCTCTTGTCTTCGAGCTCTGTGAGCTTTGGCACTATGAAAATTCTAAATTCTTTTTTTTTTTTTCCACTATAGGGCAAGTGCACTCGCCAGACAGCCAGAGAGAGACATAGAGACAAAAAGCGAGAAATCACCCCCCAGAGGGGATGGTCACACCGCAATCCCTTCTCCTCCATTCTCCTCTCGGGAT